CCACTGGGTCCAGGACTCGAACCGTGGTCAACTACGTGGGAGTCCAGCCATATAGCCATTACGCTAACTGCTGGTCCCTCTAATAGAGATTTGAATTTGAAAAATGAGTTTAGAGACCAGCAGATGGCGTGATGGTTACGCCACTGGACTCCCATGTAGTTAACTGCAGATCAAGTCCTGGACCTGGCGGCCTTAAACTTGCACTGGGCGTGTGTGTGTGCACCCAAGATCCTGAGAGGGGAATGAAGGAGAAGGGACTGTCCTGTGGGCATCCCCCTGGGGGGTGATTTCTCACTTTCTGTCTCTCTGGCAAGTGCATGTGCCCTATAGCAAAAAAACAAAACAAAACAAAACAAACTCTCTTAAAACAATAATTTTTAGTTTACTTTTCTGTTAAGTTTATTATAAAAGCATAAGCTGATGATAACTGGCAACTGAACACTTGGCTTCGCTGTCAGCAGTAGAGAGTGGTGAGGAGTGTGGGACACTAGAGAGCCCATGGCTTGCCTGACGGGGCAGCTGCTGCTCAGCTCCTGCCAGTTACCACCATGCAGAAATTTGGCCTAGTGTGCTCGGGCCTTCTGTTTCTACCAGAAGCTAGGAATCTGGGTTTTTATGTGAACTGTCCCAATTTTTAAATGTTGGCACCTGCTCTGAAATAAAGAATGAAATAAAATAACCCCATAGGCCAAATAAAACATTCCCTGGCCAAATGCAGCCTGATTTGCTCTGTTTTCAACCCCACAGAGAATTTTGTTCATTCCTGTCATGTGGTACTTAGAGTCTGTCTAGTTAAAGAGTCAGTTTTTAATTCGTTTCTCCCAGAAGTCTGTAAGCCTTTTAAAAGCAATAACTATGCCTTACTCATTTCCAAACGGTTGCAGAGCCAGGCCGGTAGTTGCCGTTAGTTTGATGGCTGGATTTATTCATGAATGAATGAATGAGTGATGAGTGCTGAATGAAGACTGAATTATCTGGTTTTTTGGCCCCTTAAATTTGAAACAAGCTGGAGCCAGCAGGTGGCATGGTGGCTCCGTTGCTGAACTCCCACGTGGTTGTCTGCAGTTTGAGTCCTGAACCCAGTGGCTTGAAAATCACAATGGGCACGTGTGCGTATGTGCCAAAATTCCTGAGATGAAAATGGACGGGGAGGGATTGCAGTGACCCCTGGGGATAATTTCTAACTTTCCATCTCTCTGGTGAGCGTATGCATCCTAAATCAAAAACCTAAAAAAAGGAAAAAGAAAAAGAAACAACCTATTAGAATATGGGGTTTAAGTTCTACAGACTAGCGAACTTGATGGCAGCTAGATATGCTGGTTTATGGCCCAGAATGAGACAAAATAAACCAAAAAACTATAAAAACTCAGTAGTAGAACTAAGAAGTCCAGATGTCAACGATTAGTCCTCCCAGGTGGCATGCTGGTTAAGGGTACTGGACTCCCACATGGCCGGCTGTGGTTCAAATCCTAGACCTGGTGACTTGCTTTCTTGCTTTCCCTCT